GGGAGAGATAGAAACATCAATGATGAGAGAAAATCATTGATCTGCTGCCTCCAGCACACCCACCCCTGGGGATCAAGCCCACAGCCCAGGCATGTGCCCTTGGCCGGAATCGAACCCAGGACCCTTTGGTCCACAGGCCAATGCTCTATCCATTGAGCCAAAACAGCTAGCGCAACATCTTGATTTTTAATTGTACAGTTCGATCATGGTAAGTATATTCACATTGTTGAGCAACCAATCTCCAGAACTTTTTCATCTCGCAAAACTGAACCTAAAATATTTTGAAGAAGCTAAAATAAACAGCAAAATGGCACCTCAAAATAGGCTATATTCATGCCATTTTAAATACATTAAATAGCATGAGGTTTGCGATGTTAATCTCCATTTACCACATCTACCTGACTGGAAACTTTCAAGATCTCCATCTCCCCAGTTTCACAAATTAGATTTGCTTTGTTCCAGATAATTTACGCAATAAGAGACCTTCCTTGTACATCAGGTCTTCTATCGTATATCCAAAATTTCCATTGAGGAGGTGGAAAAAGAGTTCGCAAGGCAGAAATGGCATTTTAGGCAGAAGAATTAGTGTGAGGTGAGGCAGAAGGTCTGGACAAACAGAAAGATAACTTCACATGTTCCATACTCTTGGGTCATTTAAACAAAACAGTCTGAAAAGCAGTAAGGTACTCTACCTTGATACTCTATTGCTGTGATTACTTGATGGTCTTTTGGGTCAGACAATCCAAAGGCCTTAGGACCTGGAAGATTAAAACAGATAGGATAATTAAAATAGTGCAAGAGGTCTTTTAAAAATGTTTGAATGGGATGCACGGAATGCCATATTAAAGAAAACAGGACTCAAATTTGGTGACAGTTCCATGTAATTTGCAGCACATAAATTTTAAAGTATCAAAATAAGAAAAACCATGCCAAACCATTATATGTCTCTTCCGTGTTCTGTATTGTGGTTTTACCTTTTAAGCATTTCCCAAAGCAGAACCCATAAATCTATTAGGGTCCCCTAAAAGACAACACCCTTTCACAAGCCTGACTGTTAAACAAGAGTGTATGTCCTTAATTCAGCTAATATATAATCTTGTGTCAGAGGATATTGTCCCCCAAGTAAAAACTACTAATTTTTAGCACCTCTTTCAAAGATATAAACTACTTTAGGACCTTACCCCTGACTGCCCCTTCATCATATGAAAATGGGTCATTATGGTAGTTACGGTGGCTAATGTGACCTGAGAGTTATACAGTGATGATGATGGTGGTGGTATCATCATGCCCATAACCTTATATAAAATTTCACTTTCAAAGTGTTCATACATACTTTACTTTTATTCTATAAAATTCAATATTCAGAGTGACCTGCTGTACTAGACATTACTTTTTTAAATTTTATTGTTTAAAGTATTACAAATAGTAGTACACATGTCTCCTTTTTTCCCCCCACTGACCTTCCCCTGGCCTCCCCTCCCCCAGCACATGCCCTCAACTCCCTCACTCCCCCAATGTCTTGCATCCATTGGTTATGCTTATATGCATGCATACAAGTCCTTCAGTTGATCTCTTACTTTCTTTTAAAGTTTTTAAAATTTATTTTTCAATTACAATTGACATACAATTCTATTAGAGGAAATATGTTAATTAACCAGATGTCTTCTGGATGTCCTTCTGGACAAAGCCACAGTGGTGGGGGCCCAGGCAGAGGCAGTTAGGGGCGATCAGGCTATCAGGGGAGACCAGGTAGGGGTGATCAGGCCAGCAGGGGAGGGCAGTTAGGGGTGATCATGCCAGCAGGGGAAGGCAGTTAGGGGT